TAGATGACATATGTTACAGTCCTGAGAAGAAGGGGAGCGATAAAGAAAAAAAGTAGAGATACCTAACAGAATGCAATAAAGAAAGTTGAAAGCATATGAAAGAATCATTGGATGGGTGGGGGTGGGATCACGCGAGACGAAACCCTTGCCATTTGAGGATTTACTCGTATGTAAACACCAAGGCCATGCATATGTATCCTGGAATTCTTTTCACAATTAGGAAAGTATCCTGAAAGAGAGGATTCATTGATGGCCATAGAAGAATTTAAATCAGTTTCGCAATGGGCTAAGATATCTGGAGAACGTTTGAAGAGAAAATATTCTGCATTCCAAAAATTGGCACGAATTTCAAGAATATTAGAGAAAGAAATTTTAAGGCGTTTAGGTGTTGTTTTTTTTTTTTTGTTTAATAGTTTACTTATTTCTTTTAACTGTAGCTGCCATGAGGAGATTATTTTAATTTTTAAGGACAAAAAAACCAAAATAAGTCCATCGTCTATGGCAATATAAACAGGCTAGCTTTTGCATTTCTATTGATATAAACATACAATTCTTAGGCGATGGTTTATGAAGAAGCCAAATCATTTTTCAAGATATTTCCCCAATTTACTTGAGGTTTTCCAAGAATGTTGAATGTCAAATATTCACATTCTGAGTAAACTCCCAAATATTTTCAAATCTCAATAAATTAAATAAATTCTCAAATCTTTTTCAAAACTCAATTTACAATTTTGACCTCAATAAAACTTTAATTGATGAGAAAGATTTACATTCAAAGTTTTTCATCACTAGTTTTTGCTCTTCCAGACGAATGTTTATTAGAAAAGAATACTTTGGAAACTCAAAAGGATTAGCCCAACATTGTAAGTCAAAAATGTGACATTTATTCTGCGACAAAATAAACAGGACGAGATGCTTAAATGATCTTAGTATGAATTAATTAGCCAAACTCATATTTCAATTACTAAACATTCACATACTCATTCCAGAAATTTGGTCTGGACGGTAACTTTTCAGCACCCCCTCATAATAAACATACTTATAACTGTAACGAAAATAGAATGATGTTCGGTCGTTTCGAACTGCAGTGATTTTCCAAGGGTAGCTTAGATGTGGCACAAGGCCGAATGTATGGGGTACCCAGTGAGGATCGAAGTCACTACTCAGTCGTAATTGTTTTAACGAGACAAGCTTGCTAAATATGACTAGGTGCCCCTAAAGGGATTTTCCAAGCGAAACTTAGATGTGACACAAGGCCGAAAGTTTGGAGCACCCAGTGAGGATGGAACTCACGACTCAGTCGTAATTGTTTTAACGAGACAAGCTTGTTAACATTACGCCGACTCGGTGCTCCTAAAGTTGTTTTCCAAGCGTAGCTCAGATGTGGCACAAGGCGGAAAGTATGGGGCACCCAGTGAGGATCGAAGTCGTTACTCAGTAGTAATTGTTTTAGCGAGACAATCTTGCTAACCATTACACAGACTCGATGCCCCTAAATGGATTTTCCAAGCGTAGCTTAGATGTGGCATAAGGCCGAAAGTATGGGGCACCCAGTGAGGATCGAACTCACTAGTCGGTCGTAATTTTTCTAACGAAACAAGCTTGCTAACCATTACACCGACTCGGTGCCCCTAAAGTGATTTTCTAAGCGAAGTTTAGATGTGGCACAAGGCCGAAAGTAAGGGGCACCCAGTGAGGATCGAACTCACTTCTCAGTCGTAATTGTTCTATCGAGACAAGCTTGCTAACCATTACACCGCCTCGAGGTGTCCAGCATTAGCAACTGTAAAATAAAAATTCACCGGAATATAAACATACCTTGAAAGAAAATTCTCTTTAAAGCTTAGATAAATCAATAGAGAATGATACTTTTTGAAAGCAAAATGGCAACATTTCACATTCGTACACGGAAAAAGAAACGGTGTACCTAAAGGACGGTTCTTCTCTTGACAGCGCTATCACTGATTACTCGTTCGGCAATTTTTATTGCCTTAAAAAGCTATTTTTTTTTAGAATTTTAATAAAAACGAAACATATGAAACTGTATTATGCATTCTCTGGTTTCTCGACAACTGACATAAAAAAGTATTAAACATTATTATTGTAAATAAACAGTCTAATAAATAAATAGTGTTTAACATTATTGCTGTCAGTTCTCGAAAAAAATCTAGATACTCTCAAACTATTTTAACGAATTTATGGGACAAGAGAAAAAGGAAAGGAATGCTCGGAAAATACATGTTTTAAAGGATTTACAATTACGTACTTATATTTTTATTTAAATTTTCTTGTTCAAAGATATTTTTAAAAATCTATGAATGAAAAAAATCGTTTTCACAGTTATTTCTTTATTGCAGCGATTTCTTACGGCGGTTAATATATTTTTATAACCTTCTAAATGAGTCCTTAGAATCTGTAGCGCCCAATTTCTACCCGAAGAAGTGAAATACATCAAAACCTTTTCCCAATTTCTCCAGTACCCGAATGATTTTCTGCACAGTGACAAACGCAAAGTCTACAAAATCTACGGGAGAAAAATATAAAAAATACAAAAATCTACAAATAATAATAATCGTGAGAACCATAACAAAATCAAATACTTAATCCTATCTACCAACTTCATAACAGCCACCACCGAAAAATACTTGTCCAACCTTGACATACAATTCATCGAAACCGCTTCTTAAACAATAAGAGATATAGTTAGCAAGATAGCAAGAACAACAGAAACGAGGCAGGAATATACAAATTTGTATACAGTGTAACCCGGATATAAGAGAAACCCGGATATAAGAGAGATTTTCTCTGGTCCAAAATTAGAGCCCATACTTACCTAAACAAAATAGACCAAACCCGGATATAAGAGACTTCTTCTCCGGTCCCGACAACTCTCTTATATCCGGGTTACACTGTATATAAATTATTCTGGAAAATAAACAATCTAATAAAGAAATAGGGTTTAATATTTTTGTTATCAATTCTTGAAAGAAAAGGGAAAGTATAAATCCAATGTTATGTTTTTAGTTATATTAGAATTCTAAAAAAAATCCTTTTAAAACAATGAAAATTGTGGGAGCAGCATACAGTAATAGCGGTGTCAAGAGAAAAGGTGGTTCTTTTCACACACCGTTTTTCGGGTACACATGTTAAACTTTGCCAAAAATTTCAATGCAAATATAAGTTAAGCTATCAGGCGAGAGTTTCACTATTAAGTACGTTTTTCAACTTTTTACATACTTACATCATGTGTCAGCAAGACATCCGAAATATCGCCCTAAACATATTAAATCCTGCAACGAACCTGTAACAACAGAAATTTCATTGCAGATTAAATGCTACATGTCAAAGGAATCCACAGGGGTGAACTTATATTTTTGGGGCCCTGAAGATTGTACAGATATGGGGTCCTCTTCGAAACTAGCAAAAATAAATTCAAAGATCCAGCTGCTAAAATGTGGGCTATAAAGAGATTCTGGCGAACTCAAGGAGCCTATACAGCTTGATCTTCGGGCGCTGTAAAGAAGATAATTTTGGAATTTAACCAATTGCAAGTGAATTTTGTGGCTATATGAAATGGGGAGCATAGTCTAACACCAATATTAGCCACACCAATCCCCTAGGCCATGATTTTATCCCTAAAATGGGCTTATTTTAATAAGAAACACTTAAAAAATGATTTTGCTGAAATGTTGTTTCAGGGCCTGGGATTAGGATCCCTTAAGCTTCATAGTACATCCGCCACTGGTAATCTATATATAAAGCGCGCACTTAATATGACATTAAAAGGGAATACCTGGGTTCTATTCATATATATGTAGCTGTTGAAGTAGTGTCACAGACATTGTGTTACAATATTAAAACAAAATGTAAAAGTCTATAAATACTGTTGTATGTATCAGAAGTATTAACAATTTTTATAATTTAAAACATTTTAAACAGCACAGCCACTAGCACTTAAGGAGTTACAAGGTGTGGAAGATTTAGGAACAGAAACATTAGTAACGAGGAGAAAGAGGAAAGAGCAATCAGAAGGACATATTGGAATTGTATTTAAATTTTTGCATATTAAAGTTGGTTGGAAAGCATGGCGCCAGGGTGGGAGTTCCGCAAGCGAGAAGTGCGAGATAAGAAACTGTTAGTATAGAAGCTACGGCTACATTTAGCTAGCTCAACTGTAAATTGATGAGATCTCACCGCCAGTCTAGTATTGCGCTTAAATTCATACAGTGTAGGTACCATAGCGAAGAGCTCATCCGAACAATTACCTTGAAAGTATTTGTAAAAAGGCGCAGAAAGGCAACCTTACGGCGGTGGGCAACTGAGTGAAGCAAATCAGGACCATTAATATTGCTGATACTTCTTTGGATCTTATCAAGGAACTCTAGGTAAATAGCAGTGGCACCGGACCATATATGGGCAGCAATATTCTAAGCATGGACGAATGGTAGACTTATAGATATGCAAGATAGATTCAGGAGAGAAAAATTGTCTTGCCCGACAAAGTGAATCGACATTCTAACAGCTGATCTATCGATGGATTCAATGTAGTCCTTCCACCTCATGTCAGCTCAGAACATTAGCCTGAGATAGCGTAATGAGTCACTTTCTTGGAGGATAGCATCAGCCATGCTGACGGAAGTCAGAGAGGGCTCTCTCAGATGATTAATGGAGAGACGTTTAGTTTTGGAGGCGTTAAAATTGACAAACCATCTTTTGCCCCAGTTAACGAGGGTCTGTAGGTTGCTTTGTACATCAACTGCGATTTTGACCTTGTCTGACTGATATTTTTTAATCAATTCATCCCAAGTAAGGCAATAAAGCCACTAAGAGGCAAGGTGGTTACTGAGTGTTAGAGAATATGGGAAAAAAACATAGCTGGGTCTAAAACTAGCTAAGATAAATCAAATATATAATATTTTGAGGATGAAGGAATAAACATAAAAATATTAATAAAAGTCACCGTAATTTCTCGTAAGTTACACGAAAATATATTTTTTTTTCTAGAAAAGAAATTGTCTCAATGTTTTTTTGATTATTTTGATGTGCTGAGCGATGGACGAGTTATTTCGAATTTGCAGCCGAATCATCGAACCATTCGAGAGAGTAAACGTTTTAGTTTTTCGGCGCAAAGTAAGAAAGAAAGAAAGAAAGAAAGAAAGAAAGAAAGAAAAAGAAGAAATAAAGAAAGGGTGAAATAAAGAAATGTAGGATGAAATAAATAAAGAAAAAAGAAACAAGCAAACAAACAAACCAATAAAGAAAGAAGAAAAGAAAGAATCAAAGAAAAGGAAGAAATAAATAAATAAATAAAGGAATAAATAAATAAAAAAAGAAAGAAAGAAACAAATAAATAAAGAATGAAAGAAAGAAAGAAAGAAAGAAAGAAAAAGGAAGAAGGAAAGAAAGGGTGAAATAAATATAGAAAAGAATGAATAAATAAATAAAAAAGAAACAAAACAAGTAAAGAAAGAAAGAAAGAAAGAAAGAAAGAAAGAAGGAAGGAAGGAAGGAAAGGAGGAAGAAAGGAAGAAGTAAATAAATAGAGAAAGAAAAAAATGAATAAATAAATGAATAAGAGGAAGAAAGAAAGGAAAACTAACTAGCTAAATAAATAGAGAAAGCAAATAAGGAAGGAAAGAAGAAAGAAAGAAAGAAATAAAGAAATAATGAGAAAGAAAGAAAGAAAGATATTGGACACATTTATAACTTACCATGCCCATCCAATATTTAAAGGCCAGGACAAAGAAAAAAAAAGAAAAAAAGAAAAAAAATGAAAGAAGAGATGAATAAGATAAAATGAAATCTGAATTTCTGCTGGCGATGAAAAGATGCATGGTCACATGTGTTCCTCGAGGAAAGGACAATCGTGGAATAATGTAAGCATGCAAATTCACATATGATCCCCCACCGTATGTCACACGTGATCCGACATTTAATGGCAGGAGAAAAAAATAAAAATAAAAAAATAAAAAAAAATATAAAAGCTATACTCAGATTTAAAAAAAAAAAAAAAAAATTTTCTTCGTTTTTTTCTTCGGAGAGTGATGTGGGGACTTGAAATTCCGACCTCTGTTCGTCAAAGGTTAATTATAATGACACAACAACCGGTTTTTGTTTTGATTGAACTCGGTCTAAACAGCAAACAAATGAAGAAAGAATTTGGTGGGGGGGGTCGAAATAGGAAAAAAATATCTTGTAAATTTCAGATGCTTTATTTTTTTCTTCAAAAACTTTTCTTTTTTTTTATTTTGTTTTCCTTTTAGTAATTTTGTCTTATCATTTGTATTATTGTTTTAGCATTTTTTTTTACGTCACTGAATTTTCGGAGAACTCCATTTTGTTCAATTTTTCGTGTCGCGGAAAAACATTCTTGACATTAGCAATTGACCTTCCTTATTTACGCCAGCTTTATTTTTTTCGATCTGTTTTCATTTCTAAGTCGCGTATTGTCTTTTTTTTCCTTGTCCATTTTCCATGTCAGTGTCTTATATTTATATATGCGTGTTTTTTTTTGTATGTCGTATTTTATGTACGACTTCTAACGCTCATTCCGAAAGTTGTTCAGTCTATTGAACTCGTAATTTGTTTCCTTTGTTGCTAAAATAACGCTTCAGCCGGTTCATTCTACAGACTTTTTCAGGAGGAAAAATGCGCACGGAAAGAAATCGAGGAGGCCCTTTGCCCTTTCTCCAAGATTACAAATGAAAACTTTCTAGCAATGAATGAAGAAAATGAATGAATCCTTTGTTTTAGTCTGTATTACGTTTATAAGTCAACATTGTTTTCTATTTTACATTTTATTTAATTTTTACTTTGTTTTACAGCTGCTTTTCCCCTTGACTTCTTCCTCTCTGTACAAAATATCCGTTTATCTCTTTATATGGTACTTGCTTTTATATTCTATTCCTTATTGTTGATCGGTCTGTAATTCTTTAATGTTTCGTTAAATTTCAGACTTTTCTCTCTTTCTATGACCTCTTTTTTATTCAGTCTGTCTGTCTGTCTCTCTTTCTATAATTATATATCTTTTCTCCTCAGTAATTTTATAATTTTAAACTTAATAGTGATTAAATTTGGATTTTAAAATTGGTAATTTTTACTTTTAATTTTAATATTAAATTTTATCATATAATTTAATAATTATTGGTTAGACTAAATTCTTTTTTTTAATATTACCCCTATTTTAAAGATTTGAATAGCTATTATAACATGGCTTCGTTATCAACCTTTTTGAATTTTCCTAGAGTTGTATTTTGATTGGTCATTCTAGCTTTTGTAACAACGTTTTCCCCTTGCGAAGGATCGTTAATTATTTTGAAACTTTTAAAACCATTTATTTTATATTCAACATCATCACTTGATAAGACACCGGAGATGTTGAAACAAAATGGCTATTTTTGTAGTGATTTTATAACATATTAATATTATAATTTTTTAAAATAAATAATTATATATGTATGTATGTATATGTATGCATATGTATGTATGCATATGACTTTATATAAGTATTTCCTTTTTTTCTTACATTATCTGCCATTATTTTTTACCTCGTGTTTTACAACCCTAAACCACCCTGCGGTAGCGAGGGAGCCGGTAATGTATCTCTAAACTATTAATGATCCTTTTTCTATCTATATATTATATACACGTGTGTTTTGAGTACGACCAATTTCGCTCGTCGCGTAACAAACTCACCCGCTCAATAAGCATGGACACATGATTAAGGGTTTTGCCACTAATAGGCCTATTCAAAGAACCTTCAAAAGATATTTTTGCTATATATAAGCCACGGGCTAAGACTGTTCAGGCATTTTCAAACAAACATGATGGACTGGAAGACACAGAGTCGACCTAACAAAATCTATACTTCAATCACACACCCAACGCAGCCCAAGTGTAATTCATGTTTCAGTGTCCCCGGAGGTGGAGCATAAAATGTAGACGTGCTGCTGATTTCTGAATCAATGCATCACACACACACACACACACACACACACACACACACACACACACACACACACACACATATATATATATATACATATATAGATATACATGTGTGTGTGTGTGAATATAAATGTGTGCACGAATGTATACATTTTTCTTGCATTCTATTTTCATGTATCTATGATTATATGCACATCATGTATGTAATATATATATATATATATATATATATATATATATATATCATGTATGTAGTATATATATATATATATATATATATATATATATATATATATAGGTACATACAGGGGTAGGTAAAAAGAATTACCTACACTTTCGCCGTAACATATCTTTAGACAAGAGTGCAGATAAATTGATTTCCCCTTGTATGTATGTACACGTACACACACACACACGCACACACACGAACACACACACATATATATATATATATATATATATATAGCCACCTATGTATTCGTATAAATAAATTCGTATAAACACATAAACTGACACACACACATATATATACCTATATACATATATATGGGTGCATATATATCTTTATGCTAACCCATATGTGAATATATATATAATATATATAATCATATATGCGCGACTGTGAGAAATGTTAATTTATGTATTTCTGTATTTATATGTAAATGTTTACATGTATTGAAAATTATATCTTGCAGGGATATATCGTGTGCTGTTTGATAAAAGGCTTCTTTCCTACTTAATATATATATATATATATATATGAGTTGATCTGTCTGAAAGGTAAATAAAAATTTGTGTCTAATTTCCTGAACCACATGAATTTGCTATATATATATATATACATATATATATATAGATGTATATTTGTAATATTAACCCATATACAGTCATACATGTGACCCGCATTGCTCGTGCGTATACATACATATATATATATATATATATATATATATATATATATATATATATATATATATATATATATATATATGTAATGCTGTAGAATCATGTTTTTATGCGCCTTACATTTTCTCTTCACCTATACATTATACACATATATGATTATCTGATGTGATGATAAATACGGAAAACGAACACAATTTGTAGACACAAATACATTTGAACATTGATCGATTAACACGGTGTAACGTCTGATTTACGTGCTTACTTATGCTACAAAATCGATAGCAAATATTATGTTCCCATCGCGCATGATTATTTACCCAATTATCTGTATGTCTCTTAAAATCGAATACTTAATATTCCCCTCTTCTTATTAATACATTAGTAATTCATATATTATTACTTATACGTTTTTGTATGTTAATAAACCTGTATTTATGACCGAAGAAACAATGTAATTTGGAGAAATTATCCCTGCCTTAAAATCATCCAATGTCACACATTTTATATGTGACGCACACTGAATTCATTTTTAACGCGGTATTTGCTTATCTCGTCACATAACATAAATCTACATTCTCCAGGCATCTTTATATCTTTTGTGTCAAGCCACGTAAATTATATGGTCATTAAATCGTTGGTTCTTGATTTCCAGTTAAAGGTGTAGAGATCGCTTTTTTCAATCATTCTTTTTTTTCCCATAAATTATGATGAACAGAAATCTGATTGAACATTGCAGACGACGTTTGTAACGTTTTCATACCCATTTCTAACCGACATTTTTCGCTATCCGCTAATGTCGCAGTTTTTTTTTTCGAATCGCCTGTGAAAATGATGTTTTTAAATAAATTTAATAAAACTAGTCCAAAATCGTCTCCGCATCCTGGTGGGTGAGAAACTATTTTCCACCCTGCGACCTTTCTCACACGGACGAGATGTAAAAAGAATCTCACTGCTCTATCGCTTCTTTCATGGAAAGTGCTCAGGCGAAATACATTCTTTAGTTCCACCAGTCCGAACATTCACGGCTATGACCCGCCATGTTACGCACATTATAGCGAAACACACGAAATTTCCCACGTAACTCCACTGGGGAGAATTATGTCCCAAACGAGCAGATTCTCGCAAACTAATGTTCTGTGGAGCCGACTTCAAAAAGAATGCTTTCCCGATCACTACAGTTTTAACCTGCTCAAATCTAAGGTCAACCATTATCTTTAGAAATTTGGTTCTACCTAGGGGACCTAAGAATACCATGGACTGAACATGTGAGTAACGAGACATGAAGCAATAGAAATGTGGCTCTACACATGGATGCTGACAATGCCATGAATTGAACATGTGAGTAACGAGACATGAAGCAATAGATATGTGGCTCTACACATGGATGCTGACAATGCCATGAACTGAACATGTGAGTAACGAGACATGAAGCAATAGAAACGTGGCTGTACACATGGATGCATGAACTGAACATGTGAGTAACGAGACATGAAGCAATAGTAATGTGGCTCTACACATGGATGCTGACAATGCCATGAACTGAACATGTGAGTAACGAGACATGAAGCAATAGAAATGTGGCTCTACATATGGATGCTGACAATGTCATGAACATGTGAGTAACGAGAATTGAAGCAACAGAAATGTGGCTCTACACGTGGATGCTGACAATGCCATGAACTGAACATGTGAGTAACGAGACATGAAGCAATAGAAATGTGGCTCTACACATGGATGCTGACAATGCCATGAACTGAACATGTGAGTAACGAGACATGAAGCAATAGAAATGTGGCTCTACACATGGATGCTGACAATGCCATGAACTGAACATGTGAGTAACGAGACATGAAGCAATAGATATGTG